GCTACATGGCTGATACGAAGTTATAAAGGAATCTTGCGCGGAAAATTCTTGCACTCTTTCCTAACATGAATATGTCAGTTGTGATCACTGGAAATAGCACACAAAGTTTCACGCATGAAGATTCGGTTTCTGAAGAGAAACAAACGTACAAAAACTACACGTTATGGACCATCGAAGGACCAGGAGGCAGAGCCAGGCGAGGCATGGAAAGAAGACGGCGTTTGGCCGGCTACGTACCAGGCGACGCAATGAGAGAATCGGGTTAAAGCGCGCGATTTCGGAGAGTGGAGACAAATCGATCGATGGAATAGGATGGAGTAGAAGTGTAAGATGTGAATGCAACGAAGCAGAAGGCCAGAAAGAGCTTCTAGTGAATGCACTCCAAGAACCAAGTTTGAGCATCCCCGTCGCCAGCATTCGTGAAAGACGTCCGTGGGCAATTCGAACGCGTAGCAGCCTTTTCGAGTTTTCGAATTTCTAATCAAAACGAAAGCAATACTTCAGTTCTTTTCACTATTATCGTGGATAATGAGTCTCAAGCCAGTGATTTATGGCTGAAATAGAATCATGATTTTTCCGCGCAAGATTCCTTTAAGAAAGTCCTGAGCCTAACCAACAAATTATGAATGCGAGGGGAACCCGGGGTTCTAAAGCGTGTCCGTAATCTCCTCTTGCAGCCTGAAGTGGAATTTCAGCTTGTTTTGGAAGAACCCAGCGAAGTTTGGGACAAACAGATCCTCGAAAGCTTTTTTAATGCGTTCCTTTGTCATACTTATTTATGTAAATAGGCTCCACCTCCTATTGGAACGGTACATTTCTGGTTACACAAAAATTTGGCAAATGTATTGCCACCGAGTTGGAAGGCACGTGCTTGCTCATGACACTGCAGAGCTTCAGGCCCTCAATAAAAAAAATTCTCAATGACTTTAATAAATCAAATTATCGAGCACCCCCTACAGCAAGGAGATGGATCGGTGAGCGTATCCATTATTCCGCCTTCAGAGCCTCATCTCGAGAAAATAATCTTTTTCAAAAGAAGAAAACACCCTATGCCGCATCCTTGTATACTCTGACAAGAAAAACAGAAGAATATGAGGAGAAACTAAAATGGTCCTTTTTAGAGGAGCTCAGATCATCATCATCAGCTCATCGATGATCCGTGCCCAATGTGATTGTGCCAATCAGCAGAATCGCCTGTTCTGTCTCCTCTTTTATTTTCTCTCCAAAAAAATGCAGCGGCACCCAAGTTGTAACCCCCTTTAAATTACATTCAAACTTCGAATGCATCTAATTGTCGTACTACTGCAGTACATTGAATACACTACCAGGAAGGTCTTTCAGGACATGGAGCCCTTTTTGAAAACGGTTTTTTGCATGATAAAAGGGGCACATGCATGGAGTACAAAACTAGGCTCCATTTTTTCTGAGCGGCCCTCTGAATGCCAAAAAAGGAGTGAAAAAAATTTCTTCAGAAATCGGAGTTTTCACACCTTCAACGTAGTTTATATCACTCGTTATGTTAAGTGGACGCACAATAGAAGGTTTTCTTCACCTGAACGTTGAAAACAGCGTGGAATAAAGCCAATACCAAAAAACCGCGGTGGTCGGATGGTCGAGTGGATAGCGTGATGGACTCTGGTTGGCACGGTTTGTTCGAAGTTGTTGGTTCGGTTCCCCTCCATGCTCGGATTTTTGCATTTTTCCGATTATCACTTTTTTGCATTTACATGTGCTTGCGCGTGAACTTAAAGCCTATAGGTGTCATTTCCAAGAACTTTCTCCCACAATTCTGCGATATTTCGTAGTACCATGTTTTTCAGTTGTGTACGAAAATTCCGTTTACAAGCAATAAATAACTAGCAGTTATGGTAAAACTCAATGAAGCATCTGAATCACAGGCGCGGATCACACCAACTGCATCTAACGAACGCCAGAAAAGTGAAGTTGTCATTTTCTTCGCAAGGAACACCTACTCCATTTCCCTTGAAGGCAGATTGCCGGCGTTGAGGAACGTCCAGGATGCTCGTCGACGTATGCCAGTGCCCACCCAGGCATACGCCATGCATCGACGAGATCAAGGGGTGATGCCAGATTGCCCCATGGGCAGGAACTGCGGTGGAAGTGTAACTATCAACCAAACGTGCCGCTTGCTATCATCTCGAAGCTGTCTCCAAGTGGGAAGCGTGCATGCCGTACTGACTATGGGCTAACCCATGGCCCAATTTTTGAATTCGGGCCGAAATCTTGATCTTCTCTAAAACTGCGGCTATAAGGGTAATTATAGGCGCTGATTACGAATCTGACGTCCATTTTTGATGGAGGCGCGATATTGCGCCATTTTAGCCTCCTCGGGCACCAACTCGGCGCCGCTTTAGCGCCATACAATTTTCGCCCCAATTCTGGGCAGAAAGCTAATCAGAAAGGTTGATGATGACCCTGATTGTAAGAACAGTACCTATTTTTATCGGCGGTAACATTTGGAGTCATTTAACATGCGCTAACATGAAATGCAAAATTTTGTCATCAGCCGGGACCGATCCCTCGACCAATTTTTCATACCTTTTTTGGCATTCAGAGGGCCGCTCAGAAAAAATGGAGCCTAGTTTTGTACTCCATGCATGTGCCCCTTTATCATGCAAAAAACCGTTTTCAAAAAGGGCTCCATGTCCTGAAAGACCTTCCTGGTAAGGGAAGCCCCAATCTCAATTTTTCCCCATTTATTCTTACTTTTCATTCCATAATCCATATCCAAACCTTCAGGTGTTGATTGTCCTGCCGTCATCGACATTTTTAATGATAGTGCGGCTTGTACGGAATACTATCGAGTGAACACGGCTTACATCGAGATCTACTACGAACAACTGAATTTCGAAACCCTAAAGGAGACTGCTGGCTATACGGTACGGAACTTTGCGTGTTTTTCGTGGACTTAAATAACCGATTGTTTCTAAATCTTAACAATAATTACTATAACTGAATGGGCCGGAATAACGACCACTAGGCGCGTTTACTTGATGCATCGCAACCATGTTCACTGCGAAAAAATCGCTCAGAGGGGTTTTTTGCGGGTGACAACATTTTTTGCAAATGTTGTGTTCATCGAAGACAAGGGCAGCATTTTTGCTCGACATTAAGCCTTTCCTCGAGAAAAATGCAGTGGTTTGCAAGTATGTGCACGAATGGTGGAAAATTTGGCAAGGCCAAGGCGCTAGACCTTGCAGCACTGCTCCCCCCAATTCCATTGATCACATCCACAAATCAGTACGATTTTATTTAATCGGGACAAGAACTCGAATCAAGTTATTAAATGTCTTCGGAATACCCCCGCACACCAGAACCCCTAAACATTCCTGTCCAATTTTGTGAATTTTTATTTTTTTATACAATCGTATAATTTTATACTTATTCAATACATCCGCCATATTCCTTACTATAGGTTTCTACGAGGCGGTGTCCATTTCGGCCTTGCCGGCCATCTCTTCTCTGCCGTTCAATTTTGTATTCATGCGCTCAGTTTTAAGCGCCACAATACCAGCCCCCTTTGGCCTTCAAGGGTTACTAAGCCACTTTTTCCAGCCATGTGCCTTCTATGGCGCTTACGAGAGTGTGAGAAGGCTTCATATGAATAGGCGAATGTCTTGCTCGGGATAGACTCACTTCCTTTGTCCCTGGGGAAGAGCTGTCAAATCGTCATATTGTGGCATCCGAGAGCGGTCATCAGCAGCCAAGGGCGTGGATATGCACCACATCGGATAGACAGTCGTCTACTCTCTAGAACATCAACATTGTCAATACAGATAGGGAAAACTATGCAGCTACGTACATATCTTATACCAATAAATGATCCGCCTCTCCTTGCGTCTTCTTCTTTGTCGAAATCCTCAAAAAGTGAGGTAGTGGGCTTAAAAACATGTCAAATGTCCGGAATGATCACTTGGAACAAGAAATTTCATTGTATTTAATGGTGACATTCAGTGACGTTGGAAAAGGTTAGCAAAATCTGTACCGTTTTAGTTAGGATTTCGGTTAATTATCATAATTTCCACTGAACTTCCATCACTTACTGTCCATGCCACTTCTGTCCAGACATGTCCATCGCACTTACTCACCTCTAGATAGTAAAGTTACGTGGCATCAAAAGTGCACTTTGCCATTCCTGCCTAGCTCTTCCCACGCGTCTAGTTTCTCCTGAGTTTTCTAAACATATCAAGATAAAACCCTTTGAGCCCATGCGCCCCATAAACAGTTAACGATCAAAAGTTTGAAAAACTTTTTTTATTTTCGATCGTCCACCGCGGCCGATACCAAATACGAAATTGTCCCAAATCGAGATATTTCATACAAAATCGAGTTCAGAATACGACAGGGAGAACCAAATTTCCAAAAAGCTACAATCATATTTGAGAAATAAGATTTTTTCAAGTAATGGCGCGTCAAAAGTTTGGAAACTTTTTGTTTCCCTTATCATTATGATTCCTACTCTTCAATGTTCACTTGTTTCTGTTAATTTTAGTTAAACCATTGAGCAATGTGTAATTTCAAAATGAATTCATATGCAAAGAAAGCAGTTTTTCCATGGGAAGTCCTTTTTTAAACCCTACAATCCGGAATACGAAATTGACTTTTCTTAGTAGTTCAGTTCATACGAGAAGCAATATTTACGAATTTCTAGCGTTAATGGAGTTAATCATGTAAGCATAGGAAGTCTGATCATTTACAAAAAAAGTATCCTCACAAGGAAATAGGCCCGCCCCAAATACTTCGAAGGGTTGTTGGCACGTACCGTACCCCTGACACCCCAACTGAAAGTCGACTTCTTCTGGTTTCTTTCCTAATCATGTGAAAGCCATGTGCAGCCCAACATCGGCCGCGACCTGGTGAATATTACGGATGATGTCCCAACAAGAAGCCATTGTTGGGCTTCAAGAGCAGGATGGCCCAACTGGCTTCCGCACACTAACGGCTAACATGGACCGAAGGCGAGAGGTGAAACTTTGTCCTCAGCGACGAATGAGATTTCTATCTTCCTAATGATGTTGTGGACCCTGTGAAGTGTTCAGTCAAATGGAAACCTCATTTAGAGTATAAGATCCCAACATTCAGAAATAGTGGAAGTATTGCCATGGATGGAGATGTGTCCGACCATTCGGCGATTCCCCAGTTCTATGTATCCAGCAAAATGTGGGTTGGGCTAAGTACAAGAACAGTCTATAGAATACAATGCTTCTCTTCGATAGTCAGAACTGGCCGAAAAAGATGGGTTTTCTATCGTGGAAATGACCCAATGCAGGCCTACCTCCTCACTGCCGCCTTCCTAAACCCAGAAAAAGAAGCTGTTATGAAGCGACCAAGTCGAAGATCTAAAGTCCAATTGAGTTCTACATCCCACGGAAGAACTGGCATGTCGCTCAACCCACATTCCAGTTAGGAATCCCACCAAACAATGCGATTTAGTTCACAGTGTGCAGGGTTCGACTTAAAAGTCCTAAAATTATTTTATAATCAACTCCATGTCAATAAAAACGACGCTGACATAGAAATTCACAGCTACTCATCGAATAGTTAATTTATCATGTAGATTCGAGAGCTATTTTGCCGAATTCGCTGTGGAATTGAGAAGTTTCCAAACTTTTGACGCGCCATTTCTTATAAAAATTCGTATTTTTCAAAAGGAATCTCGTTTTCAAAAAATTATGTTGCTTATCGTAATCTACACTTGATTCTGTATATAATATGTGAATTTGGGACAATTTCATTGTCTAATGGCTACACTAGATCAAAAATAAAAAAGTTTCCAAACTTTTGACCGCTACTGTATATGTCTAGGCCATCACGATGACCCATTAGAAGCACAGCGCCGGTGTAGGAAGAGGTGGAGGTTGGTTGGGTTTATTGCCCTTCCAACCTGAATACGCACGATGCAAGATAAGGAAAAATCAAGGCTTTTGTTGCCGTCGAGCCTCGCGATTTATTTGACTCGAAAGAAATGTGCGCGATATTCTGGAAAGGACCTACGGATTGTAACATGGAAAAACAGAATCTCACTGAGAAAAAGAGGGAATGGATGCGATCGTGGGCGGGGACCATGTTATGTTTGGTGGAGTCTGTTAGAAGTCATGGCGCCTAGGGTCCTGGTGACGGGTTTCGATGTAGAAAGGTGGCGCTACCTTTGCACTTGCGTGCCCAGCACTTCTAGCCATGGTAAGGGCTTCTTAGGTGGGTCTGAGCCCGAACTTTGCCTTTAACCATTACCTAGGATTTGCTTTTCAACCGATTGCGTGGGCTAAGGCCGCACAGAAAACATGATTTCTAACGGAGAAAGAGAAATACCTAAATAAAATAATTATTTCCGCTAAATAAACAATTTAGCGGAAATAACTGTCTTTTTTCTTGTCACAAACATTATCGCTATGAGCTCTTGAATGTTATTCAGATGGTGAACCTGTTCTCCGACTGTCGGCGGAACATCGTCTTTTGATTGATTCTCTAGTGAATCACCATCTGGTGAAATCATCGAACTATATTCGAGATTGGCTACTACCCTTGTTTTACACAACAGGCGATAAGCGCAGTTGAACTTTTTTTTCCGGAGAATACTTCCGGAGCTAGGCAACATGACTCTCGCCTAGAAAGTGCGCGGGTCTTGCCTCAGAAGCTATTTGGCCCTACTTTTGTGCAAAAACCCAAAGATCGCGCTGGCTTGGGGCTCAGATTGTTTAGATGATGTGGAAGTACAGTATTGTTGTTCCCATGCTACAAAAACATGGACCTAAATACATAGTTTGGCTTTTGTCCGCCAAGGAAATGTACCAAGTCGCAAGTGGTGGTACCAAGCAACTTTCTTATGTTTCATTTCAATTACACGCGTCTTGCGTATGACCATTCTGTAAGACGTGTTGAACATCGAAAGGACATGGCCGCTCGAAAGTTCCCAGTAAATATAATGGGAAGTATCTGAAACAGTACCCTTTGAATACCTAAAAAAAAGGAGCAAAAGAATAATCCCTTATATAAAACTGCCGTTCTTAATTTTCTTCAACAATTTTTAGCCAAAATCTACGTATAAAGTTTGCTGATTGTCCTATACAATAATAGATGTGACATAATTTGTTTCCGCTGACTATTTATTAAAAAAAATTCTCAATGACTTTAATAAATCAAATTATCGAGCACCCCCTACAGCAAGGAGATGGATCGGTGAGCGTATCCATTATTCCGCCTTCAGAGCCTCATCTCGAGAAAATAGTCTTTTTCAAAAGAAGAAAACACCCTATGCCGCATCCTTGTATACTCTGACAAGAAAAACAGAAGAATATGAGGAGAAACTAAAATGGTCCTTTTTAGAGGAGCTCAGATCATCATCAGCTCATCGATGATCCGTGCCCAATGTGATTGTGCCAATCAGCAGAATCGCCTGTTCTGTCTCCTCTTTTATTTTCTCTCCAAAAAAATGCAGCGGCACCCAAGTTGTAACCCCCTTTAAATTACATTCAAACTTCGAATGCATCTAATGTCGTCTCTGAGGTACCTTGAATACAAGACAACTGAGTGGGAAGCCCGAATTCTCACTTTTTCCCACTTATTCTTACTTTTCATTTCCATATCCAAACGTACCTTCAGGAGTTGATTGTCCAGCCGTCATCGACATTTTTAATGATAGTGCGGCTTGTACGGAGTACTATCGAGTGAACACCGCTTACATCGAGATCTACTACGAACAACTGAATTTCGAAACCCTAAAGGAGACTGCTGGCTATACGGTACGGAACTTTGCCTCTTTTTCGTGGACCAGTTAATACCGTTGTTTCTAATCTTAACAATAATTACTATAACTGAATGGGCCGGAATAACGACCACTAGGCGTTTACTTGATGCATCGCAACCATGTTCACTGCGAAAAAATCGCTCAGAGGGGTTTTTTGCGGGTGACAACATTTTTTTGCAATGTTGTGTTCATCGAAGACAAGGGCAGCATTTTTGCTCGACATTAAGCCTTTCCTCGAGAAAAATGCAGTGGTTTGCAAGTATGTGCACAAATGGTGGGAAAATTTGGCAAGGCCAAGGCGCTAGACCTTGCAGCACTGCTCCCCCCAATTCCATTGATCACATCCACAAATCAGTACGATTTTATTTAATCGGGACAAGAACTCGAATCAAGTTATTAAATGTCTTCGGAATACCCCCGCACACCAGAACCCCTAAACATTCCTGTCCAATTTTGTGAATTTTTATTTTTTTATACAATCGTATAATTTTATACTTATTCAATACATCCGCCATATTCCTTACTATAGGTTTCTACGAGGGGTTCCATTTTCGGCCTTGCCGGCCATCTCTTCTCTGCCGTTCAATTTTGTATTCATGCGCTCAGTTTTAAGCGCCACAATACCAGCCCCCTTTGGCCTTCAAGGGTTACTAAGCCACTTTTTCCAGCCATGTGCCTTCTATGGCGCTTACGAGAGTGTGAAAGGCTTCATATGAATAGGCGAATGTCTTGCTCGGGATAGACTCACTTCCCTTGTCCCTGGGGAAGAGCTGTCAAATCGTCATCTTGTGGCATCCGAGAGCGGTCATCAGCAGCCAAGGGCGTGGATATGCACCACAACGGATAGACAGTCGTCTTCTCTCTAAAACATCAACATTGTCAATTACAAATAGGGAAAACTATGCAGCTGCATATCCTATGCAATGAATGACCGCCTTCTCCTTGCGTCTTCTCCTTTGTCGAATCCTTGAAAAAGGAGGCAAAGGTGGGCTTAAAAACATGTAAAATGTTCGGAGTGATCACTTGGAACAAGAAATTTCATTGTATTTAATGGTGACATTCAGTGACGTTGGAAAAGGTTAGCAAAATCTGTACCGTTTTAGTTAGGATTTCGGTTAATTATCATAATTTCCACTGAACTTCCATCACTTACTGTCACCTCGAAAAGTAAGTTACGTGGCATCAAAAGTGCACTTGCATTTGCCTAGCTCTCACCAGCGTCTAGTTCTTCTTGAGTTTATAAAAAGTATCAGATTTAACACCTTGGAGCCCATGCAGCCCATATGTGGGCTGCAGTCTGTTACCGTATGGGACCTTATGTCCCAGATTTTGGGAGAAAATGTTCAGTTTTTCTTTTGTTTTTCATTTCATTACATTTACTAAGATTTCCTCTGAGTCATTCAATAGGTTTTTGCTCCCAATTCGCTTGATAAGATTCCTAAAAAATCCATTGAAGTCGCAAGCGGCCGCAATACGTAAAACGTGCGCGGTCTCCAACGTGTTAATGCAAGCTGCTTGGCTTAAAGGCAAG